AGACAGGATTGCATATGAGTGCTGCTCATAGCCTTGGAAAGAACAAGGCAGGCTGGCTCCAAAGGACAGCATGGGAGTAAAACTGACTTCATACATCCTAGAGCACAGATTAACTATCCAATGTACTTTTTGTTTTAGCATATAATAAAACATTCAGCTCTGTATATATTCCTCTCTGAAGAGTGAAAAAAGATTGAAAGAATCCATAGCTTGGAAAGGATTTTTCCTATGTCTGAACTCCAGTGATGCAGAAAGACTCTGGGTGCTATTTGCAGTATTCCCAGATCTTAAAATCTACCACTCTGCACAATGAAAACAAAGAAGATGTGCTGAAATAGGACAATGTCCTAAATGTAACACAGAGGTTTCATAGGAGGCTAAGTGGGTATGCAACAAGCAGATTCAGCATCACCAATGTTGACCATGTTTGTACAGCTGTGATCAGCTTTTTCTGCCATTGAGTTCCCTCTTGCTCCCATCTCCTGCAGGTTTGATGATGGACAAAGATATCAGCAAATGCAGAAGCTCAGCACATATGGCAGTTTGGCAAGAAGGAAGCAAAAAGAGCAAGAGCTTTGGTTCTTTCAGCGTGTCTGGTTTTAATGGGCTACTGGTGCAGGATGCACTTGAGAAGCAACACTTGCAATTACTTGCACTTTTGCAATTCAGGTAGTGATGTTTCCCCCTCCTTCCTCTCCACGCTGCTGCTGGCCATGGCAGTAGTGCCATCCTCAGGGGATGTGTTTTTCCATGGACATTTCTGCTACCAGCTTCCAGACAACTCCATAGACAGGAGTTGCTCCTCAAGTAAGAGGCAGAGGCTCCATACTACTCTCTCCTTTCCATCCATCCTGTTGTTTAGATAGCTAATTTGATGAGGAATCAGATACTTTATGAATTTCTGAACTTATATTTGGCATCAAGAACGGAATATAATATGTAGGAAAGCAGACTTGCTCTTTCAGCCATCCCCTTTCCCTGATCTCCTAAGGACTCAATCAGAATCCAATTTTTCCCCACCTTACACCAGGGTATTTTATTTTTTAATTAGAAAATACACTAGCTCAGGCAATGGAACAAGGGAAGGGAGAAGAGCCTAGTCAAAGTGCATTAGAAATATGTTGTAGGGTAATGTTTTGACCTGCTAGCTAATATTTGGGATCTGCATTTATTTATGTTTACATATTTAAACCTTAAATTTTTGTAAAATAATCCAGCTATAACTCTGATCACACTTACCTGCCCACAGTTTTAGATTTGTTTCATGGTCATGACATTGAACCACCTTAAAACAGAGGCAAGATAGTTTGACTGCAGTAACGATTTATTTCAGTGGTCAGTCAAGATTATTTCTCAGTGCATTTTTCATGCTGAACATCTAGTACTTAGATTTTGGATTATTGCAGTGTCTGTAGCTTTTTACCCCAAAATGTTATTTTGAACTGTCTCCCTTCAGCTATACTTTAATGCAGCTTTGGTTTGAAAGAAGTTTTGTTACACAGAGTAGTGCAGCCAGGCTACATGATGAACTGCAAGAAGACTGAAGAATGCTGCTTATTTTGTTTTTGCTTATTTTAGTAGAACGGATCCTAGTTTTTTACCTCGTGAGTATGGAGACTGCATTTCTGACCCAGCTTGCTGCTCCCACAGTCTTGGGACAACCAGTGCTTCCAGAAAGCTGCTATCAGTCTTCTGAGGTGGATCCAGAGAGGTAGGCAGCAGATGGCTGCTGCCAGTGAAGTTGATTTCTGCCAAGTACCACTAAATAACCAGATTTGGAATCTATAAATGATCTCTTGGGTCTGCTGCTCATCACTTCAGTGCAAGGGCTTAACTGGAGTTAAGCCTTCACTCAGCAAGTGTGGAAACACTTTTAATCAGAAGCAGGAATCATTGGACCAGCTTGCCAAATCAGATTAGGAGCAGTTTATATGACCATTGTAAGTATCATGAAGTGCCTGGACATGGGAAACATCAATATATAAACAAGATACCTCCTGATTTTTTTATTATTTTGGCCTGTGACAGGGAAAAGCATTTGAAAGGCCAGATCCTTTGTAGTGCTGGATATCCTCAACTCCAGCTGCACTCCTTGAAAGCCAATGTGCTCAGTGACTCCCCAGGAGGCCCATGTGGTAACAGCCCCACACTGTTCTCCCTGCCAGGGAGCAGTCACTACCACCCCAAGAATGGAAACTAAAAGAGCAACCTGACTCCATTGAGAGCCCCAAGACATTCCTTGTATGTGAAATTACTTCATATTCAAGATTTCTGCATAGCTGTGCTGCCACTTACAGAAACATGTTTTCACAGCTTAAATACATTCACCCCCACTGAACCTCAGATCTCTATCTAGGATTTGACATGTCCTCAGGAGATCTTCAGGACCCACACAGGGTCCTGAATACATGCGAACTAAGCAGTGACAGTAAGAAAAAAAGCCACTCCTGGAAATTAAAAAGTAACTGAATTTAGATCAAACACATGGAAAGTCTGGCTTTTGCCCTAGAAGGTTAATCACTATTTGGAATTTTTTTGCCGTGGGAGATTCCTTGTGTAATTGTTGAAAGGCAAGATCAAAACCCAACATCATCTTTTGAGTGCCAGTGTCACGCCTGGATAAAAACAAGCTGGATCAGTCCTAATGATATTTGCTCCCAGACATGTTGCTGAAGTCCTGACTACATTTGGGATAGGAAGGAATTTCCTCATGTGGTGAATTAGCAAAACCTTGGGATTTGGCTTGTTCTTGTACATTGCTCAAAGACCATTTTTGGAGTCTTGTTTCACATTCTTTAACTTTCTGCAGCCTTGTGACCAGAGCTAAATATTCAGCTTTTCCCACCACTGGGCCCTGCTTTGTTTGTAAAGGTTTCTTCTGCTTTACCAAACAGGTATGGATGGTCTCATTTTTCTGCATTACAAAGATATTCTAGCAATGGCAAAAAGAATCTACATTATTACTTACCTACAAATAAGATGGGGGGAAAGGAAAAGGGCAAAGGGAATAATAAGCTGTACAGTCAGCTACAACCTTCAACTTCATCATTTGGAAAACAAACGAATTGCAGGATGCTCTAGTGTACAGAGGTATGGTCAAAGTACCCATCGTGTTGGGGCAGCACTACATGTAAGGAGCAACCTCTCTGCTTTCATGGGTGACTAAATCATTGTCATCGTTCAGTATGAAGCAAAGGAAATGTTAGCTAAACCTCACAGTTAACAACAAAATTCCTTTTTTATTCTCTTGCTGTTACAGAAAATGGTCTGCAGGTCTGATAGATACTTACAGCACACATGATTACTCTTGTTATTTCAGGCATATTAGTTCCAGATCTTTATGAGCAATCCCAGTCCTTTATTTTGGTGTTCTCAGCAACCTTTGTGTACTTGAGCCTAGCATGATGCTAGTGTGAGGCTTTGTACTGGACCGGCTAGGAGTGGCCTTTGACTTGGGTTGAATAGGGCCAACAGCTTGCTCCAGCAACAGATACTTGAGCCCATGCTTTTGTAGCTGTTTTTTTCTGTTCTGCAAAAGTACTCTTATTTTAAACAGCACTCTGGCTTGTTATACACCTCTCTTACAAAAACCTATGGTTTGAAACTTACCAAAACTAGACAGCTATGTAAAGCTTGTCTTGTGAGCACATGAATATATGAGAAAAGTGAAAATTGGGGCACAAAGAGAAGAGTAAATTGAATCTTTCCTCCCAAAGCAATATTAACTTCAGCATGTTGTAATAGTAAGCAATGTTTACATTAGTTCAGTACCTAGTTCCATTAGTTACAGTTACACTGGTCCCTTCTGTGGAGTGGTGGGGCTCTTTCCCGGATAGAGCACTGCTGTCATCCTTTCCCCCTGTTGCCTTGGCAGTGCTTGAGTTTAATATCAATTCTGTTGTTCATGGGCTGCCCCATGGATCAGAGGCTGATGAGGATGCTGGTACAGGACAGCAGCCCCCACACAGATCTGACAGGCATAACGACTATGTGACCAACAAAGTGCCCATTGCTGCTGAGTCCAGCATCAGCCAGCATGCAAAGCTTAAAGGGCTCTTTGACAGGCCCCCAATTATACTGAAATTCTTTCACTTTGCTTTGCCCCTGTCCTGCTGTTGCTGAAGTCCATAGCACAAGTGCTCTGCCCTCAGTTGTGCTGGTGTATTTGTCCTGCTTGGTCAAAAAAAGGAGTAAGTTGTGACCGTGCATAAAAGGCAAATGGAGAGGCAGGAACTACTGCTCTTTCCATTGTTTTATTATTGTTCATAATTTCATAATTGTTCCACTGTTAACTGCTGTTCATGCACATGGAGCATGTTCTGCGTGTTCCTATTTGGACCTGACAGAGAAGGAGCATCTCAAAAAACCCCTGAGGATTTTTGAGATCACAAACCTTGGAAAGATAACAAAATTAGCACACATAATTCCTCTTGATTTTCTTTATGCCTGTAGACAAGGTTAGCAGCAACCCTTGTTTCTAAGAGTTTGTTTCATCTCCTCAGTCAAAAAATCTGGAATGGTAAGTGTTGGCCTGATTTATTATTGTATATCTTGTTTTTCATATGGAAAAGATGGCAAAATTAGAAACAAAATACATAAAAACATCATAAATTACAAAAACTGAATACTGAGAGAAATTAATAAAAAACAGTTTGTTTGTTTCTTTCATAATTATCTTAAAGTGAGACCTGGAGAGTGTCTCTGACTCCTTTTTAATACACCTTCACTCTGACTTGAACTGGGAGGAGGGTTTAAGCAGTTCCCTTGTGAGGGGAATGATGAAGCCCAAGCTTGGTGAAACTGTGGTGTGGTGTCTAAGCGTGGTCTGCAACTGAGCTGTCTGTCCTCAGAGTTCTTCTTGCATTACAGTAACTCAAGCAATTCTGTCTGTCTCCTAGATGCGAGCTCTCATCTATTCCTGGAATTAAATTCTAGACCAGTACTATGCATTTTAATAGCAAAATATCTATTCGATCTCCATTTTTTTTCATTCTCATAAAGAAATGTTAATTTCTCCAATTTCTGTTGATTTTTTCGCATGCACCCCCTGTTTCTCCCACACATTCTAACTTGTGACAACTGCGCTTCTGTGATGAAAGAAAGCAGGACCTGGAAAGAGGCAGGCATGATCTGGAGGCTTCAGAGGATCATCTTGTAAGTACCTTCTCTTTATTGTTTCCTGGTATGAACATGAGTCTCTGTCCTTGTAAATCTGATTGATTCAAGAGGTAGAAATGGAGTGCACTGGTATCAATGGGTTATCCCTAGGGCTGAAGAATGAGGCTACGCATTACATATATTTGAAAATCTCAGTTACTTACGTTCTCAGCAAAAGCTCCTAATTTTCTCAGCTCTTTCTGTAAGCTCAGCATAAAAGGATTGCATAATGGACACAGCGACTCCCACAACTATTGTTTACATCTGTCAGCTAATTCTTTCTGTGAGCCAGGCGGTGCCTACTGGGTTGGGCACTTGATTGGGATTAGAAACTCTTTTTTATGATGATGATTACAGTGCTGCCTGGAGGCCTCAGCCGAATTATGGCCACATTGTGCTAAAACAGCATGCAGACCTAGAGCTTGTAGCCTATTGTTAGAGCACCCTCACTCTAATTCTGGATTAGACCCCATTTCTTCTCATGGCCCTTAGGGTAAAACATCTAATCCTGTTCTGTTTCTGTATCTTTTCAGGGGAGATGATAACTCATTTCCTACCATCAGTCAATATCTGTATCCACCTGCTTTTGGAGGAGAATGCCAGGATGATGTCACCTAAAGGCTGCAGGTAAATGCTGCAGCACAACTGGGAACCAGCATTTTCCTTGTTCAAGTGCCTCTGCTATTCAGTGGAATGGTTTTGCAATGGGAGTTTAAGGCTTTTCCAGCAGTGCTGCTGCACTCAGAGAGAAAAGCACAGCAACAGGTCTTGAGTTGCACCAAGGCTGTTTGCAGCCGTGAGGTGCTCACTGAGCCCTCAGCTCAGTAAGTGACATAAGAATCTCCCTTCTTCCCTCTCAGGGCTGCACATGTGCCCATCCTATTGAGTTACCCTTGTTGGGTAACAGGCATAATCTCCTCCTCCCTGTCCTTTCAGGTTCTAGGTGTTCCTGCTGCTATTCCATGCACCTGTGGCTGCAGCTAAACCTGAGCCTGGTCTGTGCCTGCCCTTCACTCACTGGCACCTACTGCTCTGCAATATTGCTCAAGTGTGAGGCTTGACAGGGATAAGCAGTACTTACAGTTTCTGACTGACCTTAGAGTTTCACATCAGGGTGAATTTGACTGGATTTTATCACTCCATAGAAGCTGCTTCTTGTCTGTCCTGGGCGGTTTGCTAAGGTGGCCAAATAGCTTGGAAAACGGTGCTGAGTTGTGTACAGGCTAACCCTTCCAGTGCTGTCCAGTACCTCATTTCCCTTGCTGGGAATACTGCTGGTCAGTATTGCTGGTGGGGCCACTCTGCAAGATGCTCCTTAAGAAGAACAAAGTTGTCTGAGACATCTTTCAAAGACAGGGGCAAGGCTGGTGCTTGCTGAGGAATTCTTGAACAGCTTCAGCTTCATCTCTCTCCTTTTTAAGCCCAGACTCCTCTAAAAGCTATTACAATGTGCTGGCATTGTTACAGCCATCACAGGCTGGAGCTGGCACACACTGAGTTATCCTGTTGTAAACTTTTTTGTCTTATGGGAAATTTGAGACTTAAACACTCACTTGGTCTGCACCTCTTTGTTTGAGACTGACCAGTCTGAATCACTTTTGATAAACTATCAGTAGGAGTCTCAACCAGAGTTAAGTTTAATTAAAGAAGATCACTGGAGAGACAACCCCTGTGAAATGCTCCCATAGTGTAGAAAGCTACACTATGAGTGCTCCCCTGAGTAATCACCAGAGGCTGCTATCAGGGTTGTAATCAGAAATGACTGAAGAGCTTAACTTGAAACTTAGGCATCGACGCAAGGCAAGGAAAATATGAGACAACAGTAATTGAGGACTAATCACATCCATTGTATCATGAGAGTAACAGAAAAGTAAATAGACACTGGCACTGTAAGGTGGTCTGAGACACAGGTCTGTACGAAACTGAGCTTTGTTAGTTTTTTTTATACAATATGGTCAAGGTTTTTACATACTACTATGCTATTACATATACAAAGCCAGTAAAAACCTTGATAACCAAAGCAAAGATGTATTTAAAGACTTTCTTTACCTATTGCATTCTAGGTCTTTCCTTCAGTAGCTTTTGAGGATGTGGTACTATGTGAATGAGGCTGGATATGAGAAGCTGGAAAAAGACAGCAGGGAGAAGAAAGCAAGTAGGGTCAGCACAGAGTTTACTTTTCACTCCTTCTTCACTGGTGAGTTAATGGTACTGGCCACAGCAGTATGGACTATACCAGGTCACCTTTGGGGACCAAAATGCATTTGATAGATACATCTTCCATAGTTTTTGTTTTGTCTTCACAAATTAGTGTTTATAGAACCTAACCAGAGATAAGATTAGTGCACTGCTGGCGTGGGATGCAGCCTTTAGGGTTTAGGTAATGTTCTATGGCTAACAAGAGCCAACAAGTTACACCTGAGTCATTCCCCTGGGTGAAACATGCCCTGGACTGATGATGACAGGAGCCAGCTGAGCATCGTCATGGCAGATGACAAGTGTCGACATGGGGACAGTCATCTCCCATTGTGTCTAACCAAGCAGAACTTGCAGTGGAAGAGCCACTGAGGTGACTGATCTCAATGTTTATCCTAGTGGTGATATCAGGCTGCCAATGAGATTAGAAGGATGACACTTAATGTAGTCTTTTGGTAGTGGGGCAAGACTTATGTTCTTAGCATAAGCTGCTTAGGAAAAGCTTCTTTTACTTAGCATTTATCACTTGTTACTGATGTTTTATTACATTGATAGCCATCCTCTAAAATGTTTTAATGTTCTTATGTGTTTCATATATAGACATACTCCGTTCAACATCAAATATACTTTGAGAGAACAAAACTGTAGAGAAGTTAGACCTGCTTAGTTACGCTGACATAAACATAGTGAGCTTCCTCTTTGACCAACAAAACAGCACCTAATGTACTTTCTAAGTCACTGTGTTTCTTCCTTCTGGAAGCCATATCCAGCATATGGTGACCACAGATCCACAGTAAGGTGGACCTCACTCAGGAGAAGCTTCCACTAGCAGGATCTCTAGCTTGAGCACAAAATGTCAAATTTGATCATGTAGGGTAAAACACTGCATTTCCTCAAACATTTCTTTGGTCCACTCCCTTCCAGATGAGGCAAGTCAGACACATTCCTTCTAGTTGAAATAGTCCTTTTTTCCTTTTTTTTCCCCCACAAGCTTCTCAGGTATACAAAAGGATAATGCAGTGTACAGAATTGTCATATAACGGTGACTGTAATGTGCACCGAGCAGAAGAGTCTCAGGGAGTTGTACAGTGAAATTCTACAATAATCTTAGTCACGAAGGGCAATTAAGAGCAGTAGTTAACCTATATTTTTCTACCCTACTTTAGGAGTCAACTTACACCCAGGATTTCAAATACTAGTTGGAAGTGCATTGCATTGTCCAGAGGCATAATTACAGAAGCTGTAGTTGTCTTTATCACGAAGTTTTAATTAGCAGGACACATTAAATAACCAGCTGATACAGATCTTAATGAATCATTTATAGGCCTACATCTAAGACAATTATATAGGTAGCTGGTCATACATAATCATTTGTGTACTTCTGGGCTTATGTGAAATGGAATATGCATCGTCCTCATGTCATGTAAAGGTGAAAGGGACAGGACAAAACTGGGGCAACAGCCTACTTTAACCAAACAGCTTTTGCCTGGACCATTGTTGACAAGACTGAAGAGGAAATATGAATATTTGGCTTCAAAAGAAATCCACTTTGAGGAAAAGCAGCAGCTCTGGGTTCCTGAATTGTTGACTGCTTTGGGTTTTGTGTTTTTAAATCGAGGTGTTGTCTCACATGCACACTTTATGTGGTGCTGCTCAGGAATGAGGGCAGATGCACACCAGACTGAGAATAGGGTTTCTGGGGCAAGCTGGGACTCTGGTGTCTGCAAGCCATGTCATGCCACTCTTGCTGTGGCTCCCTGACAGCCTAGCCTGCCTTAGAAATGTCCCTTTTTCTCTAGCACTGCCTGCCCAGAAGCATGGAGAAGCTCCTCCAGAGCAACCACTGCACACCCCTAGCAGCCAGATCTTTGCTCCACTGGAGATGTTCCCAGGTCTCTGGTTCTACCAGCTTTCTTGCTGCTTAGTATGCCTAGATGAAAAAGTGGGAAACGTGCCTAAACATTCAATTGCTCTGGGGCTAATTTTTGCTCTGAGTACTGTTTCAGGGCCAGATTTTCATAGCATTTGTTTGTGACCACTCCTTGATAATTAAAAAAAGTATAGGTTGGTTGTTTGGCCAGGTGAAGGGGGCAGGGGAGCAGCTGGCTGTGAAAGCACATTTATTGTCACTGCTGAATTCTGCAGAGCTCAGAGTACGCACACAGCATGGTGGAAGACATGGAAACAAATCAGTTGTGGTGTAAAAGGTGTAACGAGTGCCTCTTCCTCCTCTTTGCCTTCAAGATGCAGCTGTCACAGGCAGGCTGCTCTCCTTAATCAGCCCCAGTGGCAGGGCGGTCCAACTGATGTAGCATCGCGTGGGAACTTGTTTTTAGGAGAAGCCTGCCAGGCTCCAGGATGCATATATTGGGCATGGTGCCAGTCCTGGATATTTCAGGAAGATTATCCCTCCCATTCACTGTGCTGACCTCTATCATGTACTTGCTTCTGCCTCTCCCTGCCCCATGGGCCGTTTTGGTATCCACCTCAGGTCCTTGTACAATTTTGAGCTGTTTGTTTTGTTCCTGTTTCTTTAGCAAGAAGTACTTTAATAACAGATTGTAGGTAATACAATATGCCCAAAACCACTGCCCAAACTCCCCTCCCCCCAAACTTATTGCATCAAGTAGACATACTTGTCCATGGTCTTTCTTGCCATGTCTGACTTGGCTTACTCTGCTTAGTTGGAGCTCCAGTTGGAGCAAAGCCTGTGTTTATCTGATTGCAAGGCAAAACCTAGTAATAAACAAACCATTGCAAATGTATACTTGAAAAGATTAAGAGCAAATTATTAGCAACCCATGTATTATTGTAATCCAAAGTACTTTAAAAGTAGCATTGAATAATTTTCTCAATTATTCAGAGTCTGCTGTTAACAGGCTTCCCTGGTTCCCTACCATCTGCTGATCTCTGCAAAACTTCTTCCAGTTTAAGTACAGAGATCTCCTTAAAATTAGAGGGCTTTTAAGAGTTAATATGTTAATCTCCTGATGTACCATAGCAGGCATCTGGAATAGATCTTGCTAGACTGTTTACACTGTGCTTCCTTGCAGGGTGGTTAGAAGTGAGGGAGCACTTGTGGCAAGAACTGATGTGGTGTAGGGTTTGACAGCATCTTTCCACACCTAGTTGTTGCTTTTGTGAAGGAGGGAGGAGCAGAGGCTTCCAGTATGGCTCTCACTATGGCTTTTCAGCTTCTCCCTGTAAGGGGAGGAGGCTGTCACAGAGCAGGGGGTGATCCCATGCTCAGTTTTCCCCAGCATGTCCAAGGTGGTAGAGGTTTCCTTTGCTGCCTTCTCCTGGAGGAAAATAAAAAAACCTAATGAAAGAGGTTTACTTTCTCTCTCTGAGGCAGAATATAGTTGGTAAGAGGTTCAACCCTCTGAGCTTAGGGGCACCTAAACCAGAGAAGCATGACACATGCTCTGTCCAACAGGGCAGCTGCTGGGAATGCTCTCAGCACCATGTCTGAGGGTGGCCTATGTGCTGAAGCTGACAGTCACTCTGGATGGATGGCTGTAATAACTTTGCGCTTTGTAGCTGTCACTGTTTTTATCCTCCCAATTCCCCTGGGAGGTAGGGAAGTGCTGTTAGTCATTTTATAGGGAGAAATTGAGCCGTGGTGTGATGAGGCCACACAGGGAGTCAGCAGCAGAGACCCTCTGCTATCAGACCCTCCTCTCCTTCCTTATCAGCTCTGTCTGATCTGTGTGCACAAGTAAGATTTGTGGAAATGGCTCCTGAGAGACTATGAAGAGTGGGAAGGAGCCAGGGAAATGGGAGGAGTAGTGCCTGTTCCCAACACCAAAACTAGGCTGCCTGAAAGCCCTCAGTAAACTGAAAGATGACAGCTTTGCTCCAGTGCCATGTTTTCAAGTAGAGCAGATTTTTTGCCAGTTCTTGTTAGACTTTCAGTATTGGTTTTCCAGCCACCGCCAACTCTGTCTGGGCACCGGTCCATGTTTACTCAAGCTCCACAGCCAGAAATATGGTGAGCTCTGGTTCATGCTAGTGTGTGGTTGTGCTGAATGCATCAAAATGCGTCATCAAGAGTCACCAGCTACATAAAGTATGAGCCGTGGCAGGGAAATCAGAGAGTATAACACAACATTGAGGAGAGTAACAGCTCTGGAAGCCAGAAACCCATTTAAAACTCTCTGAATTTTAAAAACACTTATCATAAGGTCAGTTTCAAAAGTAAAATGCTTTGCTTTTTTTTTTTTTAATGCCATGTTTTGATTCCTAGCTGGATCAGAAGCACACTTTATTTTACATGAGCCAACGGTACCAATTAAAGCCTGAGACTTTCAAAGCAGCACACGGGACTCAACTACACATCTTCCATTAATTATCTCTTGGCCAAGTTAACTCTGCACAAGTAATATGTCATAAGCTCATTTTCTGTCATTAAATTCAGCAGATACAACCTTGTTGTTTCTGAGAGCACACCTTCTCAGTAATAAAATGCTGTTTTATTGCAGGAACTTTTTGAAGAATGTCATTTTAATGTCAGGTTATGCTGAAGAAGAGTCCAACTCCTGCTTTTTCGGACCTTCTGAAGCAGGAAAGAACTAACAGCCTGCATTAGACATCAGTGTAGAGCCTGGACTAAATGTGTCTTTCTTGACCTTCTCCTTCTCTTGGTACAGCAAAGAAATTACCCTAGTTTCAAAAAAGCTGACGTAGGTACAGCTGGTACGTATTAGCACTTCAGTTGTATATTGCTGGAACACAATTTGGCAGCTGTGATTTTACTTGCTTGACTCCTTGATGTATGTGCTTGAAAAGTTTTGGGAGCAAGTTCTCTGGATTCCAAATCCAACATTTTGGCCTCCGTGGTGAGGTAGCTTTGCCCTGAGGAAAGTGTCCTCTGCCCCTTACAGCTGTAGTCTGTGATCTAGGACCTTGAACTAGGGTTTGCCACTGTTTTCGACCTTCAGAAATTGTTTCAGGTTTTTATGCTCCTGTTCCATCTCCCATCCTTCCATATAAAATTTGGGGGCCAAAAGGAACCTGTTTCCAGTGCCCACTTCTATGCATTAAAACCCAGCAATGCATTAACTGCCAGCAATGACAATTTATGCATCAGCTTTCTCTGCTACAGGTTTTTTTCTGAGAAGGAAAAATAAAAAATGCTCAGTTTGGAGTAAACCTATAACATGCGTGGGGTTGCCATATTAAAAAAAGGTGGAAAACAGCCACTGGTGTTTGCCATATCCTTGTCTTACCCTTCACCAAAAGCACTGCTGACAGAGCACAGTGTCAAACAGGCGAGTACATCGCTCAGTCCATCTGGCTGTCCAGTGCCTCTGAAGACAACAGCTGGCCTCAAAATGGGAAGGAGGTAACCTGCTGAGTGAAGATGTCCAGATAATAAATTAGCCCC